CTCGATCATGAATTGAACAACCATGATTAAAAAATATTTTTATCATCATAGTTACACACACACGCACACACACACGCACACACACGCACCCACACTCGCACACAGGCTAAGCAAAATATTTTCATAGTCTTCAATATAGGCAATGTAAATACAATCATCCTATTGAACTGACGAAAAGAAAATAAATATATATATATATGTGTGTGTGTGTGTGTGCGTGCGTGCGTGTGTGTGTGTGCGTGTGTGTGTGTGTGCGTGTGTGTGTGTGTGTGCGTGTGTACCACTACTTCTGTTATCAATTTATGAATTTTATAAATCTCTGAAAATTTTTTTCATTGCAACCAATATAAATTGTCAATATTTCTGAACGCAGATTTAAGACATTTGGACTCGAATGAGTTCAAATCAATCAATCATCTATTCATTCATTCATTCATTCATTCATTCATTCATTCATTCATTCATTCATTCATTCATTCATTCATTCATTCATTCATTCATTCATTCATTCATTCATTCATTCATTCATTCATTCATTCATTCATTCATTCATTCATTCATTCATTCATTCATTCATTCATTCATTCATTCATTCATTCATTCATTCATTCATTCATTCATTCATTCATTCATTCATTCATTCATTCATTCATTCATTCATTCATTCATTCATTCATTCATTCATTCATTCATTCATTCATCCATTCATACATTTATTCAATCAATCAAACAATCAGCCCACCTTTCAAATCTCAACCAATCTAATCTCAACCAATCAGCCAACCAATCAAATCTAAATAAATCAGTCAACCAATCAAAATCAATCAAGCCTGATTAATTTTCAAAATTAAAATTTGAAAAAATTAATACAACCGCATCCTACAACAACGACATTGTCAATAACTCTACTACTACTACTACTACTACTACTACTACTACTGCTGCTGCTGCTGCTGCTGCTACTACTGCTGTCCCTGCTGCTACTACTACTACTACTACTGCTGCTGCTGCTACTGCTACTACTACTACTACTACTACTACTACTACTACTACTACTACTACTACTACTATTAATAATACTATTAATATTAATATTAATAATAATTTATTATTAATATTTTTAATATTATGATGTAGGATTTTCATCCAATATATTTTTAATATTATGATGTAGGATTTTTATCCAATCAATCATTGACGTGAGAGGCTGAGTAATCGTGCGATGAAAATAATTTTTGTTTACAATTTCGCACTGAACGCCATTCTTTATGTAGCGCAATCTTCATCATCATCGTCGTCATTATCATCATCATCATCACGAAACTTAATGACGTAACGACTTAATTAAAATGACCAAAAATATTCAATACGGATTCTGTTATTAACTCTCTTGATTTCATACAACCTTCTATTTTATGACTATTGTTATCACTATTAGTAGTAGCAGAAGCAGCAGCAGTTGTTGTAGTAACAGCAATTTTAGTAGTAGCAGTTGTAGTAGCAGCAACAGCAGTTGTAGTAGTAGCAGCAGAAGTGCGTTCTATTTTGTGATATTTCAAATGTTACGTACTCTTCAAGAGGTGTCAGACGTTATAATGAATTACACTAGCAGGCTGAAAGGTTGAAATCAACTTTTTGAAATTGTAAATTAATGTAATGTATGTAATGTGTGTCATGTATGTAATTTTACACCATTTAAAACGTAAACAACTTTCTACTCACTTAACTCTTACAAATATCATCGTATTGTAAGTTCTACTTCAAAAAATCGTTATCTCTGCGTGAGCACATCTCCCAATTTCCCATCCTCAAATGAATCTCTGACCTCATACAATTAAAGCGATAAATTAACAAATTAAAATCAAAAGCTAACATTTCAGACACCATATTAAATGATTTTTTTTGCATGTAGTTGAAGCAGTAGCTACTGCAGCGGTAGTTGTAGTGGTATTAGAAGTAGCTGCAAAACTAGTCGTACCTAGTAATTACCGATTGGTGAGAAGTTTCACGAACGAGAGTTTCTCATATATTTATAATTTGTATGGAAGATAAAACTGGAAAGCAGAGATATACAACTTTTTATGTACATGCCCAATTGAAAAATATAACTATTTTTTCTTGAGTGCAGTGCTTAGCTAAGAAAAAAGCCACAGACGGTTATTGTAACTATTTAATTAAGTATAATTATATGAATAAATATTTAAATATATATATAAATATTTATATAGATTTCTAGTTTGTTTAATAAGTAACATTAGTAGTATAATATACTGATATATGAACAATACATATGTACAATATATATATAGGTATGTACAAAAACGTTTGCTTCAATAACTTATAAATGAAATTATAAATAAAATAAATTGAATATAATTGAATAAATAGCTTGAATAATTATTTAATTGATTTAATAAGTAATTTATAAGTTGATTTAATGATAAAAATTTCGTGATAAGACATTAGAAGGACTGTTGGATTGGAAAGGCTCATTATAATATCTTGAGAACATAATGTTAAACACAACTTGGCAAAAATAACTGAGAGGAGAGTGAATTTAATAACAAAAAGTCACATTTTAGCATCAATTTGGCACTATTTTTGTGATTTAAATCAGTTATTTAGTGGTCGATTTGTTAGATTAATTATTCAATTAATTAAATTTGGCCTGGGTTATTGATTAAAAGTAGAAATAAGTTAGTAAATTGTCAGCTGTTGTTAACTACCGTGGGAGAGAGAGAGAGAGAGAGAGAAGATAAATAAAACCTACTTTTTGCATCGCCATTTTGTCTATTTTGGAAATAAAATAATTTTAATGGTCCGATAAACGTTTAGAAGGCATTTCATCACGTAATTAGTAAATCAAATTGCCTAAAAGTCCTGGTTTTTTAGGATAAATTTCCGGAGAACTCGGAGAAAAGTACTAATTTTTAGTTTCGAAGATGGCCGCTACAGAATGCAACCTGCCTACTAAGGAGAGGGTTGTTAAAGGTTGGTTTTGCAAATAAACTAAATAATTGTTCAGTCTAATTTGGCTTTTATTAACGTTTCATTTTTCACCCTGAATTGCTGTTTTAGTCGAATTTCTGTTATTTTACAATATTAATTATAAAATAAGTACAATTTAATAATTAATTTAAATTAAAAATAATAAATTTTAAAATTATTATTGTTAAACTGTTAAAGATTAAAGTCAGTGTAACTTTTGTCTTTCTGTTGTAACTAAAAGCTAAAACTGACAAAATACTTTATCAATGTTCCCTAATTTATGTAATTTATAAATAAAGAAGGTACTTCTATAAATAAATAATAATATGGGTTCGTAACTTAATTAAACTTATAATATTTAATTTTTTAATATAAATTTGAATGGTAGGCAAAACATTTTAATGATAAGTCTTAGTCGGTTCTATATAATTTTTTGCTAAGTTAGAAAACAGATCAACCTAATATTTCATGTCACATTATTTGAAATAGTTTTAAACAGTCACATTATTCTTTTACTGATTTTTATTACAAATTCGTAAAGAAATTTTACTCATAATTGTAAATATAATGAAAGAGTTGATAGCAGATGAATGGTAGTAATAAATACATCAAAAAATTTCCTAACAAAGCAAAAAAACTCCAATATTGACATCAAAAATGTAACCAAAAACCTCGAACACACACAGGTGTACCATTTCCTCCAACTCAACGGCTGACCCTCTCAGAGGTCATGGACTCAAAGGGCCGACCGCGACCTGAGGTTCTCAAACAGCATTTCATTTTGGAAGGGAGGATAACAGAAGAGGCAGCCCTAAAAATTATAAATGAGGGTGCGGCCCTGCTCAGACAAGAAAAAACTATGATCGATGTCAGCGCCCCCGTTACCGGTTTGAGGGCTAACTTATTTTCTTCTTCTAAAGTTTTCATGTATAAAAAAGTTTCAGGGATGTACTTTATCTTTGTTGTAATTTTGCATCTTTTATGTTTATTCTTCTTTTATTTCTTTTTCTTATTATTATTATTGTTATTATTTTACCCCAATTATAGTCTGTGGCGATGTGCACGGACAGTTTTATGATCTGATGAAATTATTTGAAGTTGGTGGATCGCCTGCGACGACGAGGTATTTATTTCTTGGCGACTATGTCGACAGAGGCTACTTCAGTATAGAGGTATTAAGTGTTTTTGGTAATTTTCTTCGTGATTTAGTGTTTTTTTGGCATATTTTTTCAGGATTTAGTGTTTTTGATAATTTCTTTGGTGATTTGGTGTTTTTGTTAGTTATTACTTAGGGATTTCATATTATAGTGAATAATTTAGTTGCTTTTCAATTCTATTAAGAACGTGTTTTACTCTATCAATGTACGTATATATAAATAAATGTATGAATATATATACATATATACAACATGTATATATATATACTAGTACACATGTACATCTGGTAATACAATCATTTTTCCGTATACTAAAATACATTTACAAGACATTTCTTTTCTTCATTCTATCTATGTATGTGTAGAAGTATGTATGTATGTATGTTTGTATGTATGTTTGTATGTATGTATATTTGTATGTTTGTATGTATGTATGGGTGTATGTATGTATGTGTGTGTATATGTGTGTATATTTATTTGTTTTGTAGTCAATAATCTAAATGCCAGTCTCCAGTTTTATTTATTTATTATTATTATTATTATTATTATTATTATTGTTGTTGTTGTGGTTGTTGTTTTTGTTGTTATCTTAATGTTTTATGTTCATTATTGTGTACCCTTTATAACGCTTTTTCCAGTTGCTCCATCCAGTCTTGCAATCAGTCCGCTTTTTCTTTCTCTTCATCTCCTTCGCTATCTTCCTTCTCTCTCTCTCTCTCTCTCCCTCTCTCCCAGTTTTCTCTTTTTTTTCTAACTTTTTTTCTGTTTCTCTTTATTTTTCTTCATTTTTTTCTCTCTCTCTCTCTCTCTCTCTCTCTCTCTCTCTCTCTCTCTCTCTCTCATTTCCTTTGTGTTTGTACATGTGTGATTACATTTGGCATATGTCTGCTTAGGCATGATCATATAATAAATAAAGTAAAGAAATAGAAATAGTTAATAAGAATAATAATAATATTATTATTATTATTATAGTAGTAATTATACTATAATTGTTATAACAACAACGATAATAATAATATTCGTTGTTGTTGTTGTTGTTAGTAGTTTAATTATATAATTAACGACAATTAGTGTTAGTAGGTTAATTTAATAGAAGCTGTATTTCGGTCTGGTAGAGTAAATTTTAAATAATAAAATTTGGAGGGAAAGAGTGGAAGATTAGCAAGTAAGAACGAATGAGGAGTGACAAAGAGACTAAAATGAGAGGAGGGCAAGAGAGAGAGAGAGAGAGAGGGAGAGAGCAAACAAATTTATATCATCTAAAGCTACACCAGGCATAAACTAACGTATAGAGATACACAACCACAAATACATCGCACACATACATACATGCATAAACACACATACACATACATGCGCGCACACACTCACACACGCACATACATACATTAATAAATCAATGTTTAAACATGGTATGACGTTCTTTTCAAGCAGTTTTTTTTATTAATGGAACAGAGAATAACATTCCCTAATGTTAATTCATTAAGTAAATTACTATAGGTATAAGTGAAAGTAAATCCAAAACCCAAAACAATACATTTATATATACATACTTTTGTATATGTTTGTATATGATTGTATATGTGTATGTATGTTTATGTATGTATGTGTGTATGAATGTATGTATGTATGTATGTCCTTGGTTAAAAATACATACATGTGGTTGTACATATAGATGTAGTGTACATCCATTTAGCATGTGTATTTGTATTACTACTATGTGTATATGTTTCTTTGTATATATTTGTATGTGTGTGTATGTGAAAAAAAATGTTGTAGATATGTTTGTGTGTATGTGCGCATTCGTCTGTTTTTATATTTGTATATATCTG